GCTTTATGGTGGTAATAATCCTCCCACCACCCCCACCAAAAAAAAATCACGGTTTGTGGGACACTGCTGTGTGCAATTGGCTGCCGCATTTCGCCCACAAAATACACAAATAATCCACTTTACAATATATTCTATGAAACGCTTTGAGACATCTCAACCATGTGATAAGACACTATAGCAAATGCAAGGATTATTATTATCTGCTCTAACAATACAGAAAGTAACAAACACAGCAATACTCACAGCGCTCTCTAGTGGTTTGCTGGAAAACTAATCAATGTTTTTCTCAACAGCCTTATGCAGTACACAAATTATAATAATAATCCTGATAATAATCAATATTTTAGACTGTTATGAGATAGATTACTTTTACCTCTCCAATGATGTGTTATCATTAATCATAATAATAATCCTTACATTTGATACAATGTCTGTCTTTCATTCAGGAGGACATCTCAAAGCACTTTACAGAAAATACAATAAACGGTAGTGATTGCATTTTGTAAGCAAATGCAGCAGCCAATATGAACACCGAAATGCTCCACCAACAGCCATGAAGTGAATGACCAATTTTATCTGGGGGATTGTTAGCAAGGACACTGGGAGAAACTCCCTGCTCTTCACAAATAGTGTCACTGTATCTTTAACTTCTAACTGAACAGAGACCTCGGATTGATGACTCATCTGCAGGTTGTTGCAATACTGACATGATCGCAATCCTACAGCACGCGGATGAGGGGCATAACTGATGCCCCTTTGCGCTATCGGAAGCGTTCCCATTTGGTGTGATTAACAACGAAGCTCCCTCTGCTGGTGGCTGCGAGCTGAATGATCATTCTGATATAACTATTGTCAATGTGTGCCAACATGTGTTGTTGACTGCACACTGTAAAGTATTATGTGGGCCAGTGCCATAGGGCTCTGTTGCTGTCAGCCACTCTGTATGCAGGTCAATTACAGTGCAGGTACACAGTGATTGATTTTATTTTCCATGTCTCCTCTGCTATGCTTCGTCTGAGCCAAGTCAAATAATTTTCCTGGCACTCGATGCACACACATAGAGCTGAGTCCCTGAAATGATTGACAGTTTACCAAGTGACCAACTGGGATTATCGAATGGGTACCTCTTATTAGAAATTAGATATGAAAATAATTGACTATGATTTTCCCCTCCCCAATTTCTATTTTTTCAAAACAACGCAAAGGTGATCTTATGATCTTAACAGAAACATGTCCAAGAGCATTTTAACTTTTTCAGTCCTGTTTGACCCTCTCAGCTTTCATAATTTGGATGTTTTCCCATCATTTAATGTTTTTATTGGAAACAGAGTCAAAAAAATGCCACTAGCTCCTTGACATAATTGTTTAGCTGCTTTGCCACAAGTTATACTCTTCAGTAAGTCTCTCCACCAGCCCCCCATCCCACCACTCTTCCCTTCTCCACCCATTCCCCCTACTACTGCTCTTTCTTTATTCCAAATCCTATAAATATTTTGCATAACCTCAAAAGTATATTGTGTGGATGTTCTACCTTGATTGTTGTGAGGTGCAAAAACAGAAGTATAAAGTTGGCGCTGTTTTGCTTTGAAAGTTAATTTGAGCTTCTCTTGTCCCGTTTAGGGGCCCTACTTCAATGAAAAATCCATTCTAAACTTGTTTGCAATATGTGTGAAGTTTATTTTATTCTGGTAATCTATTTGGGGACAGTGTTGTGTGCAAATTGGCTGCCGCATTTCCTTACAAATACACAGTTATTGCGTTTTACAGTGAATCCTGTGAAACACTTTGAGACATCCTCCCAAGGGGGAAATTTATATAAAATGTAAAAACACTTGTTATTTACATCAGTGATAGCTCAGAATCAACAGTGAATTTCACAACACATTTCATCAAACTTACCCTGATTGGTTTACAGGTTTACTGAATCGCTTTAAAACATTCTTAGAAAACCTAGATCTCATTATAGGACAGATGGGGCAGAGCTATTGACCATCAAGTCCTATATTTATAGCTTATGTAAGGGAAACTCTATGTTAACAAAAAGCCTCTAAGTAGGCAGCACCAAAAATCTATGAATATTTTTCCTGATACTTTTCCCAATCAGGCAAATGAAATTACTCCTTAAACACTGTATATCACTGATTTGTTTTGGTCAGCTGGGTATTTGACATATCGGGAAACCAATCACTATGCTTAAGAGTATATCCAACCTTAAATTTCATGCATGTCAATTTCTTCTGGTTTCCTGCCAACAAACCTCCAAATAAAATTAGTTAGTTGTTTTATGGTTGTTCGTGGGACATAACTTTACGCAATTGGGCTCCCACCTTTACCTCCAAATACACAGTGACTCCACTTCACAATACATCAGGCTTTGGGCCATCCTCCTGACACGAAAGGCACCATACCAAATGCAAGAATTAATATTAAAACCACATAGCTTGTCATTAAGAACGGTGACTGAACCATTATCACTGAAAACAACAGCCTAAATAAATTAAGTTATCTGTGAAAATAAAACTTTAAGCAAATATTTTGCTTTTAATTGATTGCATTGGTGAGCTGTCATTTATATAAGGATTTAAATTTGGATCTGAAAGAAATGATCCCATTACAAACATACTTCCCCAGTATTGACTGCAATACATGACAATGCCAAACATCAGGGCTTTGACCCTCGCCAGATAGAGCTGAGCTTCATGGAGACACAAATAACGATGGCTCCATTGGAGACAAGGTTAAAGGAACATCACACGCTCTTCAGCAGTTATGAAAAACTAAACTGAACTATGATAAACTGTTAAATTTATCAATGACATGTTTGACATGAACTGTAACACTCTCAATATTTCGTATTTCAAAGCAAGGTTGAAACAGAGGTCAGCAACAGTGGAAGTCAAATTTGCAGACAGAAACACATTCTGTTCCACAGAGGAGGATACTGCACAGCAGAGAATCCAGCCAAGCAGTTAAGGCTGTAGTCTATCTCCTGCCCTTTCTCCATTACATGAAAGAATCCAAATTTGTCACAACTTGCTTCTTTAGATAGAAAATAATGACCACAGGGATGACAGGTAATATACTAGCCTTACTTTGAGCCTTACAAATACAAACAGACCATTAATGAGGGAGCAAGAAAGAGAAATATACAGAAAAAAGATGAAAGAAAAAGTTTAATGTAAATTTTTTAAATAGTTATTTGAGATGAAACCTTGAATTATTCAGTAACAGTGGAAATTAAACTCATATTTCCACAGGTACGATTTCAAAATGACAATGAAAGAGAAATTTAAGTGACTTTCTTAATTCCAATTTTTAAATTGAAATCATGCTATGAGTTTTATCAGTGAAATATCCTATTATATTCCATCAAACTAATTTACTAAATACAGTAATATTAATAATCTTTGTATTATAAGCCTCCACCAGCTCGCCAACCTCCGATCATACCATACACCTCACGCAGCTTTAACCCTTCTCCACGCATTCGTCACCTTCCACCTCAATTTTTCCAATGCCACCTCCCAGGTCTCCCCAGCTCCACCAATAAAATCGAATTAACCAATTAATTCAATTCAAAACACCAGCGCTCTCATCCTCACCCATATTAACCTCTGCACCCCATCATCACAATTCTTGCCAAACTACACTGGCTCCCCTTTGTAGAATGGATCGATTTCAAGATCCTCAGACCTGTGTACAAAGGGTGATTAACAGCTGGAGCTGGTTACCAGGAAGGGTAGTGGAGGTCAGTACCTGAACTTATTTAAGAAATAGTTTGATGCTGTGATGGAAAGGCAGTGTGGTTGGTATTCTGGAAAATATGAGGTTGATGCATACATGAGGGAAAAGGGGATAGAAGAATATAGAAGAGGCTGATAGGAAGGTGGAGATAATGTGATGTATAAACACCATCAACATTAAGTTGGGCTGAATGGCCTGATTTTGTGCTGTACAATCTATGTAATTCTATGATAAGACCAAGGGGTTTCTTTTGTTTTCAAAATAAATGTTTTTACCAAACCTGTTCGGATTTTCTGAACATGAAGCAACAAGTTGTGCAGAGTAGAGGTTAGACTCTGACTTGGTGCCTTTGATTAGCTGAGGTCAGCTATTCACTATATAAACCCATCAAGCCATCAGAGATCTCCATTATAACTGTAAAGAGATCTCATGGCTTACAGTGATACCCCACTGCAAATGCTCTGTTTCTTTCTCTGAATGGATTAGAGGTATCTCTGGAAACATCTGCAATTCAGAAGAACAATACGAGGTATTACTAGAGACATCTTAAATACAGAACCAGGACGTATCAATGTTCTTTTGAATAAGAGTCATAAAAAATTACAGCATAGTTTTGTCCCATTTTGTGTGCGCTGACTCTTTGAAAAGCAATCTGTTAAATCCCGTTTGGTTGCTTTGATTTTTCCCTTATATAAGTACATTAATGGGAATCATTATCTCAACATATATGTATGACAGATGACCCAATTCTTCACTGTCAACCAACACTATATCCCTGCAAGCAAATAACTCCTCTTTAGATATCTATGAATGTTCCAATGAAAGTGCAGAACAACATATTGTAGTTTCAGAACTCCGAGAGGTGAAATTGCATAAACGTATTTACAAACTGCAAGAACAGTCTCCTCACAAACGGTACAAACTGCTGACAGCATTTCTCACACAAGAGAAACACAACGCATAAACAACAACAGGTTGGAGTTTGAATGTGCTGGTACAAACAGCAGTGCTTTGGAGACATTATTAGACTTAGCAACAGTGGGCAGCTGGGCATCTGCCTGTTTCCATTGGACTTCCCCTCTGCTTTATGTAGGCTAAGGTGCATGTTGGTGTCTATTTTTGTCTGTAAACAGAGTCAAAACAACATCCCGAGTGGCTGCGTCAAGTGGTGTATGGTTCATCTTACCCCCTGAGCAGGAGGCAAGTGAAGTCACAAGTGCAGTGATCTGAAAGTACATGTGGTTCTATTAATATCCATGGAATGAATACAATGTCCTGTGTCTGAGCGTTCAGCTAAATACAAGCACCATCAAGGTTACTTGCTTACAAACTACCCCCTGAAAACATTATCTAGAAATATCCTTCACCACAGCTAAATAAAGGCTGTTAGTTTTCTTTTTTGTGTGTGTGTGCATTTGAGTGTCTGTGTGTGTATGTGTTTGTTGCTGACAATTGCTGAAGACATTGGTTCAGTTAAGAAGGTCCGAGAAAGAGTGCAGCACAGAACAGAAGCCTGCTGCTGACTATAAGCAAGTGAGCCACTTGGATTCATATAGGTAGGTAACTGGTGTCAGACATGTGTTGAGAGTGAAGAACTGGGTCATCTGTCATACGTACTATACTGTATATGTTGAAATAATGATTACTGTTAATGTATTTCATACGTTTTATAAGAGAAAAATCAAGCTTACTGCAGTTAATGGAATATCTTGCATGAATTATATCAATAATTGATGCTTGAAATTGTTGTTTTATATGAAATCCATTGCATCAAATTACAGGAATATTAATGTTTCAGAAGAGTACCAGGTAAATGATGTATTGTTAAAGATTTGAGTACTCTGGTTATGCATTTTGCTACAAAATTTGAATAGCAAAAGGTGTTTGGCACAGAGAGCAATTGCAACCCACTGTAACACTAACTTGTATTTATATAGCGCTATTCGGGTGGGCTGTGTCTCAGAGTACTTAATAGTGGCAGAGCTTGATGTGAGCCAGGGAGAGGCGAGAGGTAATCGTAGACACGGTCAAAGTGTAAGGTTTTCAGATGTAATCTGAAGACAGGCAAGGAGGGGCCAAGGTGAAGGGACTGAGGCTGAGAGTTCCAGAGCTTTGGGCCGTAGTGGCTGAAAACATGGCCGCCGATGGTGGAGCAGAGGAGATGAGAGATGTGTAGAAGGCCGGAGCTAGCTGAGCGAAGTGGGCTGGTCCTGGAGCAGAGTGTAAGCAGGTCAGAGAGGTAGGGAGGAGTTCAGGCATGAATTGTAAGTGAGAGGATCATGAAATTGATCCGTTCTGCAAAAGGGATAATAATGATAGTAATAATCATTGCATTTGATACAGCGCCTTATCACATCATTGAGGTGTCTCAAAGCACTTCACAGAATATACTGTGTATTTTGTGGGCGAAACGATAGGATGATGATAGCACGCAGTGCTTTCCTCTCTCACATGTTCCATTGTGGGTAAGGCACCCAGCAGAGGTCAGACACTTCCCCAAAGTGAGCGTGGGAAAAATCAGGTAACACCAGTCATTGCTCTAGCTATAACCTACCTGGAGCAATAAGTACAAGGTGCAGTGGAGAGTAATGAAGCTCAACCCCATGATAAGAGGGTTGAGTTGCAAGAAACAATTAGGTAAGATACAGCACTTCAGACTTGAACATAGAAATCTCAGTGAGGACTTTACAGAAGTATCTAAAATGTGAAAATGCGACACTGAAATGTAAATGAACAATACATTCAATTGTGTCAGGGTAGGAGGAGTAGAGTGCACGGGTTCAGAATGTGGAAGGGTATTTTTGGAATAAACGTTGGACATAGGCCTCACTGGATGTTAAGGCCTTGGAAGGGGTGCAGAGGAGATTTACGAGGAACATACCAAGAATGAGAGGCTGTGGTTATGAAGAGAGACTGGAGAAATTGGGTCTGGTTTCATTAGAGCAAAGAGTTATGGGGATGTGGAATGACCTATCAAGTAAGGTGGCAGAATCAGAGTCCATTGTAGGTTTCAAGAGGGCAGCAGAAAAGGTATATTAAATAAAAAGGCTTTAATTGGTATGATGATAATGTATGGCAGTGGAACTGAATGGACAGCTTGCTCTGAGTGCCACTGCAGACACAATGAGCCAAATGATCTCATTCTGTGAGGTAAATTTCTATGATTCTGTGATAGAGCTTCTTTAGGAAATGACTTGATGCTGTGATGGGAAGACAGTAAAATGGGTATTTTGGTAGGATAAGATTAAATGTCTTCTCCATTCAAACCGCTCATGTGAAATTCTTGGGTTACCTTTGTACATCTACAAACAGCTCACACTTCTTTGTCATTATCAGGGCCTACAAGTAGATCTCCAGCAAGTCTGCTGGGCTGGGGAGTCTGTGGTAGAATAATAATAATAAATAAATAATAATCCTTGCATTTGATGTATCACTTTTCACTTTTCAAACCACTTCACAGGATTTTCTGTGAAGTGTAGTAACTGTGCATTTTGCAGGGAAACACAGCAGCCAAGTTGTGCACAGCAATGTCCCACAAACAGCCATAAAATGAGTGACCAATTTTATTTGGGGGATTATTGGCCAAGACATTGGGAGAAACTCCCTTCTCTTTTCAAATAGTGCTACTGTATCTTTAACATTCACCTGAAATGGGAGACGGGACCTCTTTTTAATGTCTCATCCAAATGACAGATATGTTGGGTAAGGGGAATTAAATACGTTTTTTTACAAAAAAAATTAAATGAATGGCATGTTATAAAGCAAATGTAAAAATGTTTGGCATTTACAAAGCTAAAGGTCAGCACCCAAATGTCTATTGAAACTATTTTTACAATTTGAAAAAAATGCACACACTAGGATTTAATACTTGTGAGACTGGTTGTAAACCAGCCAAAACTATAGGGATAAAGTTGGATTTTGTTAAAGCTGCATTTTGTTAACTATCTCGAATGCAAACAACCACTAGGTGGCAGCGCAATTCCCCCTCTTTTAGACCACATTGTTACCATCTTACTTGTCATTATTGTAAATTGCATACCTTAGAGCACAGTATAACTTTTTGTGTGTAATATTATTGATTTCCTAGGGTTGATCTGCTGAAGAGGGACTGAAACCATCCTCTCCCCGGACAGATATTACCTTTTTGCTGATCGGCCCCTGAGCCCATAAGGGGGCATTCCTCTCCCTGACATCACAGGATTTCGGGTACAACATTGTATTGTATTCTCCATGTTTTCTTAATAATATTTTCATTTAAAATACATGGTTTAATAATAATAATCGTTGCATCTGATATAACGCCTTATCATGTCTTTGAGACATCTCAAAGCGCTTCACAAAATATACTGTAAAGTGAATTGACTGTATATTTTGTGGGCGAAACGCGGCAGCCAATTGCGCACAGAAGTGTCCCACAAACAGTCGTGGATTGAAGTAACCAGTTTGTTATTTTTTTTTGGAAGGAATTATTACCCCCGGAAAAGTGATCCACAAATCGACTAACAACCAGATTCCTACTTATTGCTAGGTAAACAGAGGCTTGTATGGATTAAGGAAACTTGCCCAACATTTTGCCCTCCCGGGAATCAAATCCAGGTCTCTCCCTGGCAAAGTGAGTGCTCTAACCACTGAGCTACGGGATTCCACTTCATATAGTGGTAGCAGCTCTAGAATTAATATTGAAGCAACAAAACTAGTCCAACATTGCCCAGACAAATAAAGGCACTTCCAAAGCTCAGGAAATTCATGGGTAGTCTGGTCTTTACCCTTTATTCTAATGACAAAAATAAATACACAATATAAATTTACATTTACAATCATGTTGAGAGGATGTGTTAAGGGGCTTGACAATCTTGCCTTGCACCTGAGCTGGGAGCCAAGGGGGATGAATGGGGAAAGATGACCAAAGGTCAAAGAGATAGATCTGAAGATGGACCTTGAAAGATGTGAGGGACGGTGAGAGTTGAAGGAATTCACCCCAGGATGATAGCCTGACTGCTGTGGGTAGGGTGGGTAGGGCTGCGGGCATGAATCAGGCTGCCGAGGGACGGGAAATATATGTTTTAAATGTTTTTCTTAACAATAATTAATAATAATCCTTGCATTTGATATAGCGCCTTATCACATCATTGAGATGTCTCAAAGAGCTTCACAGGATATAGTGTAAAGTGGATTGACTGTGTATTTTATGGACGAAACGCCATCTCATCTAATCCACTTTCCTGTTCACTCCCAATATTCACTCCTTTTTTTATTTTTCAAACATTTAGCTTTATAAAATTCTCTTTTAAAAACAAATAATGGACTCTGCTTCAGTTACGATTTGTGGCAAAAATTTCCACACACCAAAATGTTTTTTTCTGCATTTGAAAATTTAAAGCAACAAATTATAAAATTCCATTTCATTAAAATTGTAAAATTCCACCAGGGTCCGGATTAATTCTATTCATGTAGCATTTCAGAGAGTGCAGAATTAGAAAAATTGTTTAATTCAGTTTCAACTTTCTATCCTGCTTTCTGCAGTTCCTTAAAAGTTCTTTAAAAAAGCGACTTCAAAACCAAAGACTGTATTTAAGAATTTGACAAATTCTGTGAAGCGCTTGACATAGGAATAAGGTCCTATATCAAATGCAAGGATTATTACATAGCTATTAAATGTTATGTTAATAGAATAAATCTAGACCCAGGTGCAATTTCTCCCCAATATGTTTTCTGTTGCAAAAAATAAGATTATCTTGTGAAAGTCCATAATCTGAAAAAAAATTGTTCATTTTTTCAGCATGGATGAAGATGGTCAATACACTGATCTTCATGACTATTTCCACTTCAAAGAAGACCTGTCATGTGACTTACTAGAACAACTCAACAGTTTAAGGCAAGAAAGTTCTCTGACAGACGTCCTTCTTTGTGCTGGTGGCAAGGAAATCCCCTGTCATCGAAACGTCCTGGCATCGAGCAGCCCTTACTTCAGGGCTATGTTTTGCAGCAACTTTAAGGAACGCTTGCAGTCACGGATCCATCTACTGGGCATCTGTGTGGATGTTCTGGGCCAAATTGTGGATTACGCTTATACTGGTGAGATTATTATAAATGGGGGAAATGTTTTGTCTTTGATGGAAGCGGCAGACATTTACCAATATCCGAAGGTGCTGGAAGCCTGCTCCTTGTACTTGCAAAATCACTTAACTCCTGAAAACTGCTTCAGCATGGCAAGGCTAGGGGAAGTATTCAACTGTGAAAGTCTTTATAAACAGGCGAGGGCTGTTACCTTGCAAAATTTCCCCCAAGCATCTGCATCTGAGGACATGAAAGAGCTCTCCTGTAGTGAGCTGGCTGGCTACCTGGGTGCTGATGAACTATGTGCTGAGGAAGAGCAAGTTTTCGAGACATTGACAGTCTGGATCAACCACGATCCAAAGACCAGGCAGGGGTGCATCCATAAGCTCTTCCAGAAAGTCCGGCTCCAATATGTCCATCCCACGTACCTCTTTCACTTCATGCTCAATAACCCTTTGATTCAGTCCTCACCTGTTTGCAGAAGTATCCTGGAATCAGCCAGCAGGTTGCTGTTTTCTTTGAGCCCTGCGGACACTCCTGACATCAAGCCCATGTGGTACGTCCCACGTAGATATGCTTCCCAGGAGTTTCTCATCATTGTTGGAGGGAGGAAGGATAACCAGCAAATGAGGGAGACCCTATTGTATGACCAGAGCAGCCAGCAGTGGCTGGGACTGGCCAAACTTCCCGTGCGCCTCTACAAAGCTTCTTCAGCGAGCTTACACAGTAATGTTTATGTCCTCGGAGGGCTCCTCATCAATAATAAGAAAAGAAGCCTAAGTGCCAGTGTCTACTGCTTCTCTTTGAAAACGAATGCATGGAGGACTGCAGAAGAAATGTTGGTGCCATGCTACTCTCATCAGAGTATAGCTCATAAAAACTGTATCTTCTCACTGGGAGGAGTTAGTTCAAATCAGATGATGCTGAACACGTTACAAAGATATGACAGTATTTTCAGCATCTGGGAAAACATGGCACCCATGCCTGTGGCAGTGCTGCACCCAGCCATTGCCGCCAAAGATCAAAGGCTTTATGTTTTTGGCGGAGAAGACATCATGCAGAATCCTGTTCGCCTTATACAGGTATGTAATCACCAGCCCCTTTGTGCACTGATCTTTCGTGTTCAATGAGGAGTTTATTCCCCAAAACAGTTCCTGCTTTGCAACTCAGAACTCAAACCTTAAACATGGTCCAATACACATAATCTCAGCAGATTTTTTTTAATAACTCCAAGTATTTATCAGAAAGATATTTTGGGGGTCAGCCAGGTGTCTGACACATGTGGAAATCTATTATACGCAAGACTACCCAAACCAAACTGAGAATTTAGTACATCCCACCTATATTTGATACTCCTAAAATAGGTTTTGAGAGGTTAAGTAGTGAAAGATTATCTCTGCCGGTTAATGAATTGGTAAACATGTCGGAGGGGAGGGGGGAGGTGTCACATAAATCTATGTTTGTAACATTTATATATTATAAACTCAGGTTTGTCATTGGAAGTGTTAAGGAAGAGTTTCAAATGATTTGCCCTTGGGGCTGAGACCATAAAAATATTTAAATTTGAACTGAATAAGTTTGAAGAGGAACAACAAAATAAAATGAAGAGTTAACAAGGAACTGTAGCTCAGTGGTTAGAGCACTCGCCTCGCAAGAGTGACCTGGGTTCGATTCCTGGCAGGGCGAAACCTTGAGCAATTTTCCTTACTTCACACGCCTGAATTTTTTTTTAAAAAAATAATAATTTGGTCGCTCAATCCACAACTGTTTGTGGGACACTGCTGTGTGAAATTGGCTGCTGCGTTTCGCCCACAAAATATACAGTCAATTCAATAACAACAACAATAACTTGCACATATGTAGCGCCCTCCATGCCGGGCAGCATCTCAGAGCACCTGAGACATGTTTATACTTTGCAGTATATTCTGTGAAGCGCGTTGAGAAGTCAAAAGCACTCTATCAAATGCAAGGATTGTTATTATTATTGTAACTGTGACTAGAGTAGTCAGCTTAGAGGAGGAGCCAGGACCAGCATGGGCTTGATAGGCCAGACTGCCTTCCTGCTCGCTGTAATTTCCATGACTAAGAGACCAGCAGTTAAGTGTAGATGATTTTCAGAAACACATGCCTGTAACTCTAACTTTGCCACTGTTGTGGACATGATACATTTCAATGTAAAACATATCAGTTATTTCTGTTTAGTACTTTGTTATATAATCACTTAGGCCTTAAGAGCTATCTGTGGGTCAATTCCCTCCACCTCACACCCACAGAAACCCCTCACTCCCTTCCACCCCTCCCCTACTTGCCCAGTAGGCTGTGTGAAACACTCTTCCTGAAATGAAAGACACGATATAAATGTAAATTGTTGTTGTATTTTGTTTCATGTATAACTGGTACTAGTGAACACAATAACTTTATGCTGGAATTAGGACTTTGAGATCATTAAAGCACTCAATTGTCTATCATGCTTAATCAACTTTCGGGACTCTTGTTTCAGCATTGGACTCCATTGGAATATTATTTTTACCATAAGAAAGAATGCACTTTTTATGGGTTTGATTCAAGAGGAAGCTGGGTCTCATTTTAAAATGGGTTAAGCTTGCATGTTGGATCATTTTTTAATTAGTTTACCATTCCAGTGATAAGAGTTTAAAACCTATGTAGTTGGAATGAGGATATTTGCTCCTGGTTTTGCTTATTGCAAAATGAACCAGTGACCAGAGCAGAAATTAGTGATCTTGCTGCTGAGCTGGTTTAATAACAGCTGAATGTTCTACTTTTGCACACGGGTATTTTGCACATGGGACTTTTGCACACAGGTAATGATGAGACGAGAAAAGGCCATTCGACCCATCCATCGCCAACTGTAAACCCGTCCTGTCGTGGACTTCATTCCAAGTGCATGGGGAAAGCTCCACTTAGAGACTTCCTGGGCCAAAAGCCAACCAAACGAAATAATCTTTCACTCCCGCATCTCTGCTATTCCTACCTGAGCCTCCTTCCCTTCACAAATTATATTCCCCTTTCCCCATCCCTGCAGCACAGTGCTCCATTGGGCCTGACCTAACCCTTTATCCTGCAACACCCATCCATTTTTATTCCTGAAGCAGTTTATTGACTGCTTTTGTTAGGACTAGTTATGGCTTCAGCAGAAAGGAATTGGGAAATGAGATTGTTAAAAGACGTTAATATTTTATATCCAGTCTTCTCTTGACTGCTTAGCCAAGTGCCCATTCCTACACATTATCTTGGTTGTAGTTACAGATTGAGACAACCTGACCTGCTTTTGGCAGCAAACAAAATAAGCCATTATAACTCCAATAGCAGGCTTGCTGCTGACAGCAGCTAATAGCCTTAGCAATGTTAACAACAAAGTTAAGATACTGTAAAATCATGACTTTTTTTGTTTGAAGTATAATAAATCTGTGTTTTTATTTAGATTTACAACATATCTAGGAATATGTGGTTCAGAATGGAGACCAGGATGGTGAAAAACATCTGTGCTCCTGCAGCTGTGATTGGTGACAAGATAATTATTGCTGGAGGTACGATAGACCATAAGGACAAGGATAAAGTTGGTTTCCTGGGTTTATATCTCACTGACAACCTTGTTGAAGGGTTTCAGGAGATCAGAGGCTGGAGCAGCACCCTGAGAACAGGGAAGTGTTGATAGAGGAACAACGGCAATACTTTAATAGCAACAATTTTGAGGTGTTTGTTCACCTAGTTCTGTGCTAATTAACTAATGATCTATGTGCTAATTAACTAATGACAATGCCTACAGTTCAGCAACTTGAATATGTTAATATATTGCTTTTTGTGCAACCTAGGCACTATATAAAGAGTAGTTAGGAGTAAGCTATCTGAAGGCTTGCTCTAATGTTCGTAAAAAATAAAGCAAAACAGTGAATTTTTAAAAATTAATTATAAAGGGACTGTCTCAAGACCTTCCTCTTTGACCATGCCTTCTGTCTCCTTTCATCCCCACACCCCGACTTCTCTTGGTCACCACCCAAATCCAACCCATAGCTCAAGTGCAAACCCTTGACTGTCCAGCACTTTGGGACTTCCTCCCGACATGAAAGGTACTATATAATGCAATTTTTGTTGTTGTTCTTGATTGTTTTTTATGTTATCTGTTGCCCTCAGGGTACACAAGAAGAATGATTGCCTTTGACACAAAGACAAGCAAATTTCTTAAATGTGCGGGTATGAAGGAACGGAGGATGCACCATGGAGCCACTGTTATAAACAACAAGATCTACGTCACTGGGGGCCGCTATATTACTACTGGCAACAGCATCGAAGACAGTGACTCATTTGATTGTTATGACCCTGAGCTGGATACCTGGACATCCAAAGGAAGCCTTCCACACAAGCTGTTTGACCATGGGTGCCTTACACTGCAAAGTGTTTCTTACAAACCACATACTCTGTAAGCACTATGTAAGGCGATGATAAAAGATTCTAAGTACGGGGCCAGTGGGGACTAAAAGTGCACGCATGATTAATCCTCTATGTGTTTCTTGTCTTAATTAGCACGGTGATCACTTTAAGGAATAATAACATTTATATTTATATACTGTAGCACCTTCAACATCTGGAGTACTTCTCAAAGCGTTTGACAAAGCTGGATGGGCACCCAAACTGAGGGTGGGGAATAATGTAAATTTTGTCCCAAGGTGTACAACACTCATCTAGATATGTACTTTCTCAGTCATTTTTAAGTTAAACATACTGGGAGCATACTTACAACTCTGCTGGACCTGTGGGATAAAAGAAGACAGGAAACTGTTCCCTGAGTAACAAGCAATGTGTTACCATGAAACATATGCTTCTGGTTATTTGGAATTCAGAACAGTAATTGTTGGAATGCAGCCTGGCTTCAGCACCAACTCTGGACTTTGCTCCAACCAACTCTGAGATTTGTCTAGTGGAGAGGGCAATCTCTTAAAACCCCAGTATGCCCCATATATACCCACATGCAATGTCACCCAGCTACTGTGTCATTCAGCATTACATCAGCTGTATGTTGACATTGTTGGGTTACAGTTTCCAGTGCAGCAAAGTTAGGTTATGTTTCTGAGTAGGTTTGCTCTATGATCAGTGTGCTGACTCCACCAGTACACAACTTTCAGCAGCACAAGATCATCACAAATCAGATGTCTGGGAACTTGCAGGGTATCAGAAGTTGAGTAGGAAGAATCCCTGCTTCCAGTGACTGGTCTACCCTGATGATGATGATGAGCCAGGCTGTCTGCTTGTCATCAGTAGTGCCCTGACTCATACCTGGCTCGGAAAACAGACTATGCAACCCACCACTGAGAGCTGACGGATCTCTGACATTCCTTTGCTAAACGTGCGATCTTGGATCCATCTTAATTCTATTTAATTATATCCATCTTAATTCCCTCTTTGCCCTTCCCACAATCATAAAACTTTACAGCGCAGAAGGAGGCCATTCGACCCACTTGTTCTCAGAGGAGATGTACTTTCAATCCCATGCCCAACCAAGCCCACACACCTTTTCAAGCTTCTAAAGGTTATATTCCAGGAGCATATGTGGTGAACCATACTATTCTTTCACCATTGACTTACAAAGCACAATTGGTGGCAAATGCACATAGGAAAACCTAAGCAGTTTGATGTTTATATATAAATGTACAGATAATCTTGTCAAGAATATTTGTATTTTTTAAGTTTCTATTAAAACTATTCAGTTTTTATTCTCAGTGTCACTTTCTTTATATTATGTTTATAATTTGTTTTTGTATTTCAAGTAAAAACAGCTTTGATATTGTAAGGGCCATAGGAAATGATACTTCTGTATGCAAACATTTCTTACTTTGCTGTAACTTAGTAACAATAAAGGTTTTTTTGTTTGATTAAATTGCAATTTGTCTTGTCTTCATTAAACGCTGCTCAGTGGGAGTCAGACTGCAATAACCTCAATTCACTTAAAAATATTTTGGATCAAAAGATCACAAGATTGTTTTAGTTGAAGAAGGCCCTTCAGCCTATCCAATCTCATCCCTCCACCCTCCAGAACATTCACCCTATCATTTGCCTGCTCTCCTTCCCATTATGGCATCAATCTGCTTTTTAAATGAGTCTAGTGTCCTGACCTCTACCATCTTTCCTAGCAGCCTGATCCAGTTATTAAATAACCTTCTGCGTAAAGAAAACCTTCCTGTCCTGAAATTGCCTTTACAGCTCTAAACTTGTGTCCCCTTGTTCTACTGTTTTGATGCATCTGGATAAAGTATTGTTCTGGGTTTACTTTTTCAATCCCATTTAAATATTTATACACTTCTGAGGTCCCATCTGCATCATCTTCTCTCAAGACTGAAGATCTCTAGCTTGTCTAACTGTTGTCATAGCTCTAACACTAACATTCTGACTCTAACACTGGGGATCATCCCCATTGCTCTCCTCTGCACTGTCTCTGGGGCTGGGGCAGCCCATTATGGAATTCAAAAACATTTAAAGTTAATTTAAAGCTCAGTTCAGGTCATTTTCTGCTCAACTAATAATAATAATCCTTACAGTTGATATAGCACCTTTCACATCAGAAGTGAATCACTATGAAGTATAATGACTGTGTAGTGGTAGATGAACACAGTAGCCAATTTGCACAAACAGTCATGAAGTGAATGACCAATTTTATCTGGGAGATTGTTGGCCAGAAACTTCCTTTCTCTTTTGAAATAGTGTCATGGGATTTTTAATGGCCACCTGAACAAGCAGATGGGACTTCAGTTTAACATCTCATCCGAAGGATGGGACCTCCAACAGTTCAGTGCAATCCAGCACTGAAATGGATTGTCAACCCAGATTGTGGGTTCATCGTGCCAGGGTGACTTTCTGACTCAGAGGCGAGAGTGCTATCAACTGAGTCAAGTCAGGCTGACACTTAAAAAAGAATATGAGGGAAGAGGGACTGCCACTTTTTAAAAAAATGATACAATGCACATGTGCAGAAAGTTTCTCAGTTTGTACACTCTCATTTTCTTTTTGCCACTGCAACAACAAACAAAGGTGTTTGGATATATGTATTTGTTTTTCTTATATGCATGGACTAGTGAACAAGGTTACCCAACTGATGATGGTCCAGATTCTAAGGGGGGGAAATAATCCAATTCCTGTCAGTCCTATCCCATCCTTTCTGGATATCTGTTGTCCCTGTAAGATACTGACATGCTGATTTGTCAGGGGAGGGGAGGATGTGATATGATCTGATGGCTGTTAATCTATGTGTGAATTAACACTACAGCTTCAGAGTCACTTGATATCTCAGTTGATAGAATTCTTTAACCTGGATCAGAAGTCTATGGAACTGAGTGCCAGATCCAAGAAGCCAGCTGATATCGAGGCTGAATGCTCTATTTGGAAGAAAGATTAAACAGAGGTTCTGCCTGGCTGTTCTGCCGGTTCGGGTAGACATTAACAACAACAACAACAAGATTTCATTTATAGAGTGCCTTTCACATCGGGAGGACATCCCAAGGCGCTGGACAGTTGGGTCAGGACCCGAGCAGGGGGGAAATGGTCAGGGTGAGGGGAGGGACGGGAGGGAGCGAGGAGGGGGTAGTGAGTCGAGAGGGGAGCTGAAGGCATGGTCAAAGAGAAAGGTCTTGAGACCGGCCTTGAAGGAGGAAAGGGAGGAAGCGGCGAAGGCACTGGGGGATGGAGTTCCAGAGCCTAGGGGCTGAGAGGCTGAAGGCCCGGTCACCGGTGGTAGGGCGGTTGGGGCGGGGGATGTGGAGCAGACCGGAGCCAGAGGAACGGAGGGTACGGGCAGGTAAGTAGGGGGATAGTAGGTGGGAGAGGTAGGAGGGAGCAAGGCCATGAATGGCCTTGTAGGTGAGGATGAGGATCTTGAATTCGATCCTCTGGGGGATGGGGAGCCAGTGGAGGCGATCCAATCAGGAGGGCCTCAGTTTTGCGCACTTTGAGCTGAAGAAAGTTGTCTCTCGTCCAGGACTCGATGTCGGACAGGCAGGCTGTCAGGACATCGGTGGTTGTGGAGTTGAGGGTAGAGGAGGAAAGGTAGAGTTGGGTGTCATCCGCATACATGTGGAAGTTAACCCCATGTCTGCGGATGATGTCACCAAGGGGGGAGCATATAGAGGGTGAAGAGGAGGGGACCGAGGACAGAGTCCTGAGGGACACCACATGAGACGATGCGGGGGCTGGAGGAAAAGCCGTTTGTGGAAACAAAATGAAGACGGTGGGAGAAGTACAACCTAAACCACTCAAGGACAGGGCCTTGAAGGTTGAGGTGGGAGGACAAGCGGTGGAGATAGGATAGAGGATAGGAGGATAAAGATCCCATGGCACTATTTCAAAGAGAAAGGAGTTTCCTCTATGTCCTGGTCTATATTTTTCCTGTGTTGAAATATACCGACGATCATCTCAGGGTGCCTTGGTATATTTCAAACATCAACCGAATGATCCAGAAGGTTTGATAGTTGAATGGTTAAATGTAGCTTTGCTGGACGGGCTGTGGTTAGCTTCTGATTACATTTCATGTTTTCCTGGGAAGAAGTTGTCCATATCTCTCTCTGTGCAAAGCAGCCTGCGAAGGGTGGGGGCTGTCTCTGTGACAAGGGGAGGTGGAGTTAGAAAGACAAAAGAGATGTAACTTTGAAATAGTTGGGGTTGTGTAGAGGCTCAGTGCACTTCCCAGTGAAATCGATATCGATTCTACTGTATCTATGTATCTATGTACTGTATCAATGGCAAGCTATGCGGATTTATCTGGTTAGACTCCAGCAGTATCCAATGAACACTCTGGGGTCCCCAAGCCTTGACTCTTACCAACCTGCATCTAATATTTTCCAGAATTATGTAAGCAGGATGTGTCCCTCCTGGGAAAGAATGTGTATTCCATTCCTACAATCTATCTCTGGGATTTCCACGTGTAGGTGGGATGCATGGAATCCTCAGTCTGGTTTGGATACTCTTAAGAATTGTGGTGGGTTTCCGCATGTGTCAGACACTCGGCTAACCAAAAAGATTTTTTTTTAAATTTTCTTTCATCTAAATTGACCAATTTCCCCCACCCCAGCCACAGATTTATTTAACAGCTAATATATCTCATTTCTGGCTTGGGGACACTACTGGCACACCTCAGCTACCACACTTGCTTTTAAATCAAATGAAAAGTATTAAAGCATATGGGAAAAGGGCAAGGGAGTTGGACTAACTGTATTGTTATTTCAGAGAGCCAGACCACCCATGATGGGCTGAGTAGCCTCCTCTGTGCTTTAAAATTTCATGATTCTACGATTCTAATCAAGTGCCTTCAAAAGCAACATTATGTGAAGTATTTGAGACATGATAAGATGCTGTATCAAATGCAAGCATTTATTTTTCATGCCAGAATTTCTGAACTTCAAAACTGAATCCCATAGAATAGGCAAACATGCAAAAAGGAAACAGTGGTAAATGACATGAGATGTATTTTTTAACCAGCTTCATAAATTTATTTATAAATGTGAGATTAAGGCAGCTTGAATGACGACTGATCACTAGGTTGGCTTCTCAATTTACAGCCCAGGTTATTTTTAGTTCAACCTAACACTGTCCAGAACACAACAGTGTCATGTGAGAGGAAAGTAGCTGATGTCCAAGCTGCAATGATTCTGATTTCCAAAACAGTCTCTCAGGACAGGTTTTGCTTCTGACATAAATGTAATAGAAATCATATACTTAACTCTTCTTCCTGTGTTCAAACTTTGTCAAAGTGTTTTTTAAGTCAACTATACTGTTTCACTGCTCCTGATTGCTAGATTGCGTGAGGGACATGACCACACATTAATAATGGCATTGTTGCAATACATGTTTCTTTGATGACTGTATCTGGGGATGAAAGTATTTGATGCCTTGGAAACATGCGGAGTAAAGATGTTATAATTCACCTCTGCATCCTTAGACTAAAAGTATGGGGGAGGGGGATGGTGGGGGAAGTGTGTGAAACCAGCTGTGTGTCTACTCACAATTACTATCCAGTGACCTCTGCTGGAAGGTGAAGACAAGATCAGGTTAAGCTGGAAGCTCCCACAGGCAAATACGTTGCTGACACTCACTATACAATCACAGACATGAAGAATGACCGCTTTGTGGAAAGATCACTTTAGTAATAATGACAATTAATGGACAACCTAAAGGAAAGATTCCAGAAGTAGAAAAGGACCCTGGGAAAGAAGCAATGGATCAAGTTATTGGGGTGTGTTTGGAGTGTATTGACGTGAGACCCAAATAAATCGGGTCCATCATCAGTAGGGTGAAACTAACCTGTCTCACAATGGTCTAAACACACTCTGGTTAAAGTCGGGAGAGGGGTGGGAGTGAGAGGAGATTGGAAAAACAAGGGAGGAGCAGGCTGGAGAGAGAACTGGTTGGTCATTCTGCTCTGGGAACTGAGAGAGGCTCTAGCCTCGACCTTTCAGAGTGTAGAGTTAACAAAGAGCTGAAGTAACCATATATTTACTTGTAACAGTTGTTTTTTATTCAAGCACATCAAAGATGCAATATAAAAACTACTTCTCTGTGATTATCTCTGGATTCTGTTAATGAAAAATTCAGTGGAAAACCTCTGATTGATTCAATTGCCTGGTGTGGATTGTGGTGCAGTCAGCCAGCACACAAACATTTGCAATCAAACCTAAAGCAGAACAATGAAATACAAGTCTCCTGTTCATGAGAACTCAACTTTCCCAGTCCCAACCCAACATACAGTGATCACAGCATTTATTAATGAGCTGCTCTCATCCTTGGCACTTTGGGACACAATCTTGAGGAGATGATTAGCTACTGGGGACTCTGCAGATCAACAGTCGACCTGTATGTTTCCCAATGAAGCCAGGAGGAGGAAAAGTGTTTCCT